CGAAATTTCATTATGTAACATTTTTGCTCATGGGGTCTTGGTTATTATAAGCTTTAACCTAAAAAAAAAAAACAACATTAATACGTACGTACGTATGTATTAAATTTTGAACAATTAAAGGCTAAAAGTTCATCAAATTTAGTTATATGAATATTTGTTACACTTTTGTAACTTTAATTTCACGAATAAAATTTTTTTCTTTTGATAGAATTCTAAGAAGGTAAAGACTATTTTTTGAAGTCTATAACTGAATTAATATATATAATATCCTGTGAATTTATCTTGAATTTATATGAACTTAATAATAATTACTATATAAGTTATATGTAAGCATAACGATAATATAGTATTAATTATTTTCATACGGCATACGTAGTACATATCAATTCATAACAAAAAGGTCAACGTTATATGACATCTTTAATTATTAAACTTGCATTATTTTTTTGATAGGCACACTTATACATACTGTAAACTACGAACGAACCACCTTTTTTTTTTTGCGTAAATTAATAAGATTGGTTTTTTTTTCATTTGATACGTACTACTGTACTAACGATAACAGTAAATGAGGAATCGGAGAAACTAAATATGGTATATGATACGTCGATCAAGTAATGGAAATGATCAAAAGTAATGCACGTGCAACAATATGCATATAAATATATATGCTAAATACGTATATGCTAAATTTATGCTAATAATGGGCACTTTTTTTTTTAAAAAAAAAACTAGTCGACAATGACCCGTAATTGCATTATCGAGATTGTTAATCTAAATTTGGTGAATATTGGATTTTTTAAAAAAAAATTGTAACAGCAGGTGATCTTTGAGTATTGTTAATTGTAACTTCTATATAAGTTATAGTTAAGCAAAGAGATTGCATTGATTTGTTCATGAAAAGTGTGTACCAATTAGTACGAGGGTATAAGATTTATGAGATTAGGGAGAACGGAATTACTCTTTATAACGATGGATGACTTGCCAAAAACGGAGAACACTATGAATAATATGAGTAGACTTTATGACATGATATAGCATGTATAGTTGTATAGTTGTATAGCATGTATATATACTGTAGTATGTATAGTATGTATAGCATGAATAACATGAAAATTGATTTAACAAATAAATACACAAGAGTTAATTACTAATGTTCTCGCAGGAGAACAAGGAATGCATTTTGTTGTTGCAATTAATAAAATTAATAATATTCAGAGACGAAAGGTAGTAAAGATAGTGATGGATACGATTTTAAAAAAGGAAAAATAAAATGATAAATGCGAGGGGAGAATAACCAATAGTTATTACTCATCTTCACGATATTTTTTTTTAATTTTTTAAATTTTGTCATCGGACATTGAAATCTTAAGTCTATTTTGTCACGTGGAACGTGGTCCTGTTTTCCTAAAAAGTTGAATGAATTTAACAATCTGTTAACTTTAAATATTTTAATGCGGTAGATTATTATTAGGTAATCAATTGCATAGTTACTATGACTACTCAATTTGGAAATATTTTCATAGGGTAAATTTAACGTGAGTGTTTATTACGTTATTACGATGTTTAAAGGTTGGTTCAGCTTATCATTTGTCGCACCATCTCTGAATTCGTTAGATCCTTCGTCTTGCAATAAATATATGCCCTGTTCTCCATAATTATCAATAGATCATTATATTCAATATTTATACTGTGATATAATATTAAAGCTTCTGCATGATAAATAGAGTTATGGCACAGGGTGACAATTAATAAAATTTTATGAAGAAGTAAAACCTGAGAAAGGACTTTCCAAAATTTGTGCCCATGTCTAAGTCGTGTTACTGTTGCTCTTGTGATTCAATATTGCCATATTTGTTTTAATTCCGTTATTTCGATACTTTTTTCTATGGACAAAGAAATGATCTTGTCTATCACGTAACCAATCTTTTCAAAGAATTGGAGGTCCGCGTGGTCATCATATTAAATTAATCTTAGTGTCATTATTATTGAATGCGTTTCCTAATTGGTTATTCTGATTGGTTATTCTAATTGTTTATTATTAACTGCGCACCAACTTACTAGCATATCCAACAAATTTTAAGTTTTTAAATTATTCTGTTTTGATGAATGACATTATTTTTGCAGTATCTAGACTTCTCTTACATGGTTCATATAATTGTAAAGTGAGATGTTTCGCCAATAATTAACATGAAGAACATGATTTCGCCTAGTACAATGATTGTCAGTTTAACAGTTAAAAGCAGGTATATATATTTCTAATATATGTAACGTTAATGTTTTTATTAATGGTTATTATATAGTTTCATTGAACTACCATATGTACGTATCAACTTTACTAACTATGGTAATTTTATTATTGCTGTTCCCCAATTTTAGATAATGGGCTTCCATCCCTTAATAGTCTAGATTAACCTATATTACAAAATATATCTTAATTCGGAATACAGGTACTGAGTACATCCCTTTTAAGGTAATGTTAATACAGAAAAAAAAAAATCCATGCGTAAGTGTTCTTCCACTGATGCGGAAGAACGTGAAGCATAATGTTGATTCGTATTACAATCGTATTGAGTATCTTCGATTTGATGGCGAATAACTAACTGATGAAATAAGATTTTGGGAGGGGAAAATTTTTTTTGAATCTTTATGCAAATTTGAACGATTATTGGTAATGATGCGCATTATTTACAATTATTAAGCATTCTGTTTTTTTTTTGTTCGAAGGCTTCAACAACGGTTCATTTTAGAAAAAACAAGCTTATTTTGTTGAGTATCAATGAATCTAATTAAAGTAAAATTTCTTTTTAAAAATATATATTATGCAATAGCATTAATTTAGAAATATTTCTAAATTAGTATGTAACAAAAGCAAAAAGCAATAGACGACTCGCATTCATTTTTACCCCCCGGATTTTAATGCATTTCGAATCAACTTGATCAAATTTAGAAACTCTCTCATGGTCATACCCGATCGTATTGATCATAACACGTTGGACGAACGTAAACATTATTTTATTTTTTTTCCAGAACGTTAAATTAACAAAGCTTTAAAGACATAACCTTTATTGAAAGGTATAAACTTTAAAGAACCACTAAGATTAATTTTGAATCCATCGCTACGTTAACTTTTGTTGCTGATTTGATATTTTCATGTATCGCTCGGCATCTTCAATAAAGTTTTTGCAATGTAGAAATAATAATAATAATAATAATAATAATAATAATAATATTAAAACTTTTCTTTGTCTACTAAACAAGGATTTAATGTTAAAATTAATGAATTAAGATAAAAAAAAAAATACAAATAAGATATTTCTGCTCTAATTTTCAATTTTTTTTTTTTTTTTTTTTACGTATACTCAACTTTCCCGCCTACTAATTTATGTCGATTCCTTTCACGTGATACAATATAACGATCTTTACCACACGTGGTTATTAAATGTCATTCCACTTATTCAACTTAACTTATTCAACTTATTCATCACACACCCTTTAATCCCTATTACCAATATTCCTATTTGTTTTTATTTTATTTTTATTTTATTTTTTTTATACGATTATCTATTTAAAATTAAGTGTCGTACGACAGTATTCTAAATTCCTTGCGAACATTAGCAGTACTTGTGTCATCAGATCATATCAAAAAAAGAAATCGCATTGTAGGGTACGTACGTATGTACTATCACGAAAGAACATCAATTTTTATAATAATAAATATATGCAATTTTATAGTTACATCTGTCATACTAAAGTTTTTCTTTTGCGTTGTGAAAATTATATTAAAAGGCTGTCAAATTTCTTTCCCCGATACTTTGCTCTGGTCATCCATCCCAGTTCAAACTTCAAAGACTGCCTTTACTACCAATAATTTATTTTATTTGATTAAGTCCTTATTCTTTGTTCTAAGATATTATCCAATCGAAAGAAAGAAAGGTAATGAATAAAAGATTTTATATAATTATAGAAAGTAACACAATTATAAATTACTAACATATATATCAACTATATAATTCACCTTACGCACCTTATATCTCTTTTGCCCGCCTTTTTTTTACCTTCAATTTCTTTACTCGATCTTTTTTTAATTCTCGATCCTACCTACATAAACGCATTCTGTTCTACGCATGATGAAAATTACTTATTCACCATAATTCGTAGGCTGAAACGTTCAAGAACTCCGTCAATCATTACGTTTTTTTTTCTTTAATCGAAAAAAAAAAAAAAATCATTCTTAACATTAATTGGTGGTGACCAAAAGCTTCCCAATTAAATTTCAAATTTTTTAAAAACAATAACTTTCTTTTATATAAATATCAATCTGTTAGAATAACGATTTCCCTTTACCACACATCCTTCAAACCTTTTTTTAAAAGTTTTATAAAAATTTCAACATGAGCAACGACACTAGGTTTTGTGATTGGCGTGTGGAAATCTATGACTGTCAAGGGTCTAATTTATTCGTCATAGAAGTTATAATCTCACTTGTATCTTACGCACTACTTTCCATCTCTGGTACAATTATCTTTTATTACCGCTATAGATATATGTGGCAAGGTTTATTCGTTGACCATGGAAATGGCATAAGACCTTTGCCTGTTGATTGTTTACTTTTCTTTTGGACGATTGCCTCATATATTCGTGCTCTCCACTCATTACTTATGTTACTTAACGCTTACTCTAATTACTTGCAAAGAGAATCGATTCAGGAACTTGGTTTTACTGTTTTATGTTATGGTGCTGTTTGCTATATTGTTGGTAAGTATTATAATAGTATTCTAGTAGTATTATAGTAGTATTATAGTAGTATTATAGTAGTATTATAGTAGTATTATACATTTCATTATTAATTTTTGTTATTAATTTTTTGTTATTAATAATCATAAAAATATTTATTTTTTTTTATTTATTTAGGAATTATATATACAATTCCTGTAAATTATACGAGTGGAAAAGTGACCCTTAAAGTTGATAGTAAATGTGATATAGCTGATTCATCCATGCGCGATATATTCCTTCCTAGACCAAGAACTCTTAATTATCTCCTTGCTGTTTGGTTGCTTTTACCTACTGTTACCGTCTTTCCTTCTGCCATTCTCTCAGGAATTTATAGAGATCAGGGTAATTCCAATGTAGCCGATCATTGGACTTCAACTCAATATATTATCTATTTTTTCATTGATTCGATATTTGCTAGTGTTGGTGCTTATTATGGAATTAACTTTATGTTAATACTTCGAGGTTCAATGAAACAATTTAATCGTAAATCAGCTAATTGTCATCAATCAAAGAACGGAACACGCGAAGCTCTTGAACGTCTTAAATATACTATGATATACCTTGCAGTTCTTCCACTTGTCTCTGGACCTGTATGGGGAATGTATGGTCTTTTCCGTGTCAGAATGATTTCTTCTATGAATATAGCAAATATTTTAATGTCTGCTATGTGGCATGCAGCTGGTCCTCAACCTTTAATAGCAGTATGTCAATATTTATTAGCAAAACGTGTTTATCAACATTATATGGGTAAACCTTCTTCTTCACAAAATGGTTCAACAAATTCACATTCGAATTTAACAATTTCACAAAGACCAACATTAGCTAGATCCCCTACTTCAAATACTTTTGGCGAATATATTGCTAATGAACCTAGTCCTAATTCATCAGAAGATTTTGCTATAGATTTAAAACCTATTCAAAATGATCTTAATGAGAATAATTTGGTAGGAACGGATTTTGCTGTAAGCGTACCTGCACCAGCTTATGGATCGGAACATGATGTAGGACGGCGAGCTTAAAAAAAAAAAAAGAACTTAGAAAGAAAAGAGGCAGCAAAAGGGTAGCCTATTAATAGATAATAAGTTGGGAATTATTCCTAGACAAAAAAAAAATACAACATTTTGCATAAATTCATCAATCACTGCATCACCCATTTCTTAATTTTGTAATATTTTTTTTTTTTTTTAAACCAAATTTAAACCTTTCCTTCGTGTACAATAGGGACATTTCGCGCGCGCTTATGGTTTTTTTTTTATTATTTATTATTATTATTTTTTTTTTAAATATCATTTATAACATAACTTATCTACATACAACTATATCCATTTATCTCGTCATATTTTTCTCAAAAAATTTATAGAAAGTAGAGAGAAAACAAAATAACGAAACTTTTTGTTTTCGAATTAAAAATCTTGTGAATAGTTTTTTTTTGTAGATTTTGTTCATATGCATTTTTTTTTTTCTTTATTTATTTATTTGGTCATTTTTTTATTTACATGATACAATTTATAGTGTCTAATAACTCCTTTACCATCTTTACTATCTCAATCATCACCGCATTAACATTTTAACATTGTAACCCTTTATCCACATCATTTCCACATCTTTCCACATCATTTCCACATCTTTCCACATCCTAACATTTTCCGTTTTTTTTTTTTTTTTTGACACTATTTTAACGATTACAGCGCGAAAAGAGGTTCCCCCATTGTTTTATATATATATATATTCATTCATTCATTCATACATTGTACAACTACTTACACTTTTTGCATCTTTGGTTTTTAGTTGACCAACTTTTTTTTTTTTTTTTTACTTGTTTATATTTATATATATATATAATTATGATAAATACATACAGTAAATACTTTTGTTCATGAAAAAGGTTTGAAATAATTTGGTTGCAAACATAAAGAAACTATTCAGTTGAGCTGTTAGTTTTCTTTTTCTTCTTTTATAGACTTGTACTGACAAAATATAGGTTATATATAATATTTGTCAAAGACTAAAGAAAAAAGATAAAAAAAAAAATAAAAAAAATAAAAAAAATAAAAAACGCTAAAAAAGAAAAAGATAAAACAGTAATAATAAAAAACAAAAAACAAAAGAAATGAAGTAAAAAATAATGGTATTTTCCTTTCTCTCTTTCTCTCTCGATTATCGTTTAGAACCTTCTGAGAGAATTAGAGAATTTTTTTTTTTTTGAGAAACGTAACGATAACGCCCAAATTCGAATTTCGGAAAACAAGGTCTAAATATTAAAAATCACGCCCAAAAAAAACAATGTATTACCACGCATATACGCATATATAGATTAATGCATAAAACACTGTACCACACCAATACAGGATTTCAAGGTTTTTTTTTTTTTTTAAAAAAAAAATAATCAGCCAAATGCAGGCGTTATCGGATCATGAAACATGTGAACAAACTGCGGGGAAAGATGACGTTTGATGTTCTTTTTTGATGAATGCGTTATGCATGCGAGCGAAAATGAGATAATTAAAACAATCAATGCTAATCTTTTTTTTTTTTCTTTTTTTTTTTTTTTTTTTGTGCGTGTGTGTGGAATTGTTATAAACTTTGTATAAGGTTACTTCTTAAAGTTAAGAACACAAGATGAATCTCACACTAGCTATACCACGTTTTTTTTTTTTGATGAACGGATTAGTAAATATCGATACACACACACTAATCCTAAGTTAAATGGAGGGTATTTATTGTTACCTAGATCGATTCTAAATGTCGATCTAAAATATTACGTTCCGCTGTTTAAGTTATAACAGATAAGTTAACTGTTAAGGCGTTTACAATTATTTACACTTATTTACACTTATTTACACTTATGGCATACGTACATACAGAAAACAAGATATTTACAAGTTTGAATTTTATGTATTGTTGTACAAGTGTTAAGAGTATTAAGTAATCGTAAACATGAACAAAGAATCGAAATTTTTGCCACACGTCATACACTGTATCACGTGTGAGAATAAATGAATGAATGACCGCGCGGATCAAAAGGCCCAACAACAATGGTGGTTCACGTAATAACGATAACCGATAAGGTTTGCATTGAATTGGACCATACATGGAAAATGATGAACAAAGACACTTTGAACAAAGAAAATGAAAATATTTGTAATACAAGAATTTAAGAAAATAATAGGCATATGCGTACAATTAGCATATCATTTAAAAGTCTGTAAATTTGAAATTATACAGTATAGGACTTTGTATTCTTTAGTATTTGGCATCACGTATGTTGATGCATAACGTATATCATATTTCTAATCATAATTACTATGCTTGATCTCGTAAATTTGCATTCTATTTATAACGAGAATATATTTAGCAAGATAATTTTCATCATTAGTAATCTTTTATCATATTTCTTCATTCGCTGAACTTTGTACGTACGTAGATAAAAATAAAGTGATCATTGAATAATGGTCAATGAAAATAATGGTCAATAAGATTAATAATAATTCCGAAATACTAGAATAAAAAAAAAACCACTACTACTGAAATTAAATTAAAGTTTAAATCATTTGTCATCAGTTTATTACTCAGTCTATTACTCAGTCTATTACTCAGTCTATTACTCAGTCTGTTACTCAGTTTATTACCCAGTTTACTGAGTCTGGATCTTTCTATTTATCGAATATACTGTATATCGATTAATGATGTAATAACGTCAATGTTAATCTAATCAACTTATTTTATTCACTTACGATTTCAGTTTCATTTCTTTTAAATAGTAACCATATTTATAAATTATTGCTAATTCTTAAAAGATTTATGAGCTCTCTTTAGATTTTTAGGAATAAAGGTTCAATATCTTTTATAACAAACAGGTATTATAAATTTATTCAGAGTTTGTCGAATGAACACAATATAAAATATTATATACTGTATCCCAAATTGTCATCGAATAATGATTTTTTTTTACAATCGACAATGTTCTGCAGTGCCCATATTGTCTATGCAGGATGTCATTAATAATCTCCTACGCAAATACCGAAAATACTAAAAATGCTAAAGACACCCAGAATACTGGAGACACATGAAATATTGTAAACATTGCATTATCTGTTATGTAGATCGATCAATTTGTTTAAAATCTCCAAATTTAGAAATTCAAAATTATACTCATCGTTATACGATTTAACCATTTTTTTACAAAATGCATTCTTACTTTATATATTGCATTTATCGTTCTTTGCAAAATAGTGCAACAAATATTGGTTTTTGAATCCTAATAAATTATGAATTCTGTATATTATCATTGTTAAAACAATGATAATATGCAGAATTCATAGGGCTCACAAAAATCATTTGTCGCAATTTTGTATATACCATTGTTTTAAACAATGGTAATATGCAGAATTCATAGGATGTCAAATTCATTATTTGTCGTACTATTTTGCAAAGAGCGATAAATATAAAAAAGAATTGACTTGAATTTTAGGATTTGTTGTTAAATTTTGTTCTTGGAATTAAATTAAAGTATATTTTACGGTGAATGTAACGTGCATTGGCTGAAATGACTTTAATGGACGCAATGACTGTTTTATCCACAATGACCATCTATCCACATGATGTCATTGTTGAACGCGACACGTGTAAAAAAAAAAAAAAAACACGTAAAATGTTTTCCTCAAACATACAACATGACTTATGTTACTTATCAAGGTATTTATGATAAATCTTTATCCAGGAGCTCAACAACTTTTATTTTCTAGAAAATGAATAATTTTTACATAAAACATCAAATCTTTTTTAAATATCCGAAAAATATATGATAGTTTAGTAGTTTGTCTTATCGTTATCATTTATCTTTCCTTAAATGTAGAATGTAGAATGTAGATCAACCGATTATTCACGTCATTCATGTGAAAATCTATATAAAATATATACATTAACAGTTAAGTTTGATTTAGTTCATTTCTCCTTGAGAATACGTATAAAGTTGTGTAATTCCGATATTAATAATAATAATGTCTCTATGTGAAACTAATGGAAAAATTAATGGAAAAAGTGATTCCGATATTAAAGGTAAGTTTTTCTTTATTTAAAGAAAATATGATATCTAATTTTTAACGATATGCACCTCTTCGTCTTTTTGTATTGTACATAATGAACTAATCTCTTAGAAAAGCCATATTCGCCTTTTAAATCTTGGATTAGAATAGATCTTGAAGAAATTATTTTTTTACCAAAGAATGAATATATTTCAACGAAACGATGTAAACATATCGATTTTATGTTTAAATGGACAGATAGAGTCATTATTATCGGATTTAATGCTTCTAATTTTATTGAAGAAGTTCAAATTCCTTTGAATCAAATTGTTGGAATTAAAATTACAAATAAAAATTTTCTTGAAATTTCTTTGCGATCAAACTTTTCTAAACACGTGAATATACTTTTTTATACTTGGTTTTACGAGTAATGATGAATGATACAGGTGGAATTATTATTATTACTTTTTTACTTATTATTATTATTATTAAACTTACTACTACGTATATACACTTTTTAAGTTCTACCGTCGTATTATAGGTGAAAATGGCAAAATAACTTCTTCGGCGATTCATAATGATCCAACAAGTGGTCGGTTGAAAGATCCTACTACCCTCGTGCTTATTCCTTGTCAAAAAGTTCATCCTTCAACTCTTACCTTTATCAACATCGGAATTCAAAAATTTCATTTGAATAAATCCTCAACAATTCGGAAGAATGTAATTTTTTTTTATTCTTTACCTTAATTCAACTGACTTTTTTTTTTTTTAAACACTAATTTAAATTTGACCATCTTGATAAAAGGCGAATGATAAATATTTAGTAGAGGTTCTTATTTTTACGAATATATGTCGGGTTATATAAACTTTCATCCATCTTATTCCTTAATAACTCTAGGAGATCTCTAATCCTATATATGAACAAGATGAACAAGATTCAGAAAATGATATGGTATAAATTTTCTTTATCATAAATTTTTTTTTTAAAAAAATTTATTTTGAATTTTTATTAAATTTTAATAATTTCATTATTTCTTTCTCATATATTACTCATTGAAATTTTTAATCAGCTCCATATAACTTTTCAACTTTTAACTCATTCTCGTGCGTTATTAGTTCCATTTACAATCTCATTGGCAGATTTATTTCTTAGAATTCAGTATCGATTTATGATAATTATTGAAAGTTTCGAATATAAAAATATATTTGATGATTTTATCACTGTTGAATGTGAAGAAGATTGGAAAATTGCAAAGATTGATCGTGATGTTGTTGATAAATTGAAAATTATTATTAGAATTTCATCAAGATGATTGAATGAATTAGGATGTATTAGGATGTATTAGAATGAATTAGGATGTATTAGAATGAATTAGAATGAATTAGGATGTATTAGGATGAATTAATATGAACAAAAATTATATACATAGTACTCCGCAAAATCAAATCAAATTTTGAATTTGAGTCAAATATTTGAAATTATTGGATCAAATTAATGACTAAATAATTTCAAATATTTGACTCAAACTCAAAATTTGATTTGATTTTGCGGAGTACTATATATACATACGTATATAATACCCTTGACATAAAATATCTGCAAGAAAAAAAAAACAATAATATGTATTTATAATATAGACATTGCTGTATGTATAGTACAAATCAATAAACATCCCAATACCGGTTAGAATATTAATGAGTATGATAAATAATAAATGTTTACTGTTATGATATTTGATTAATATTAATTATTTTAAATATATTTAGCATAAAAGTCAATAAAAAAAAATTTTTTGTTATCACTAAATTTTGGTTTAATATTAGGTAAAACCTTTAGGTGATTTTTTTACAATCATTATTTTAGAATAGATCTAATAAATTCAAGAATTATCAGTTTAGGAATATTATAATGTATATCAGGATTGGACACTTACATAGTCTAATGGAAAAAAGTCATTAGAATGTGTCTATTCATAATTTTTATACGTCTAATGATCTATTGGGATGTCTATTCACAACCTAGCTGTATATATAATGAAACCGCAGTTTCATATTTTAAAGTTCAAGATAACGGGATAAATATGAGAACTATTTCATTAAGCAAAGATAGTGGTTTTATTTTATTAACCGTGTTGAACATCACTGGTGTGATTTAGTAGAACCGATCCGCATAATCGGTAGTGTTCCAGGTGTTCCAGCCGGCTTATTTGCCACACCCTTATATTTAATTGCTGTGACAAATAAGCTGCAGAAAGTCGGTTATGTTGATCCGATTAATCTCGATTAATCGGTTATACGAAAGAGCGATAGAAAGTGGTTACGTTATTGATGCAGATCACTATCTAATATAGTAACTAAACCTAACGTTAAAACTAACCTATCACTAACCCTAACTAAGTAAGATCTGCATCAACAATGTATCTTCTGTCGCGGGTTTCACCCTTTCATATTATAATTTATAAAAATTTGCCATATGATTTTTCGGCCGATTCGGTTGACTTTTACATGTAATATTATACTTGTTCTACAGATAACTTTATCATTATTAATGATGCAGACATTTCTCAGAGTAGTGACTACTTTACAGAAACTAGAAATTTTTTTGATGAGTTTAATATTAAAGATTTTTATAATTAAAAGATTTAATATATTAAAATTTATCATAGTAATTTTATAATAAAAACCGCATATTTTTAAAATGTTCTAGCTCTCGCTCTAGCAGAGCAAATTCAATTCTGTAACTTGCGAATGGTATATAAATAGGATGTTTTTAAAACTATGTTGAGATATTTTTCATTTCATTTTATTAATTTGGCTAAAATTATGAATTAATACTTATTTTAACAATTAAGTTATAGAAAACTACTAAAATTTATATATTAATATTAAATATAGCAATATAGTTTTAAAAACACACTATTTATATACTATTTATATATTTTTATATATTACAGAATTAAATTTGTTTTACTATAACAGGAGTTTAAACAGTTTAATAGTATTATTTAAACAATTAAGTTATAGAGATCTACTAAAATTTATATATTAAATTCAATATAGTAATATAGCCATACTATTTTTATATTATTTGCAAATTACAAAATCAAATTTGCTTTACTAGAAAGGAAGTTACAATATTTAAAAATATATAGTTTTTATTATAATAAATTTTTTAATAAATTGATCAACAAAATTTTAAAAATATTTATTTTTACTATTATGTTGTTTATTAATATTAATGTTGTTTGCCTTTCAGGTAATACTAATAAGCACATTCGTCGGCTGTGCCTTCTTATTTGCTTTTTTATCTGAAGGCAAACAACATTAATATTTGCATAATTTCAATGCTACAAAAAAACTATTCTATAAATCATTTTGATGTTTAGTCACAAAATAAACTCAAGTAAATGTTTTTCAATAATATCTCTATTTTAATTTCATGATAATATATTTAGCTTAATACCAGACCATAAGCTTTCAATATTATTCATATGAATACCTCATCAGCAAAATTTTAAAACCACAATATTGCGCAAGAATTGTGATTGACGCGCAATATTGCAAAAGATTTTAAAAAATTGCGAATAGTTGCGAAATTTATTAAGAAAATTCGCAAACT